TATGTAAAAACGACTTTGTGTCCATTGGGGCTGAGTTATGAGAAAATGCACGCATGCCCCAATGATTGCATCTTGTATAGGAATGAGTATGAAGATTCAACTAATTGTCCTACTTGTGGTATCTCAAGGTGGAAGGAAGGCAAAGATTCAATCTTGAAAGAGGGTGTGCCAGCGAAGGTGGTGTGGTATTTTCCTCCAATTCCAAGGTTTAAAAGGATGTTTCGATCACATGAGACAGCTAAGAGTTTGACTTGGCATACTGCTAGAAAATCAATTGACGGTCAGATGTCTTATCTGGCGGATTCCCCGTCTTGGAAACTTCTTGATGATAAATGGCCCAAGTTTGGTAATGAGCTGAGAAACTTGAGATTGACTCTTTCATCTGATGGATTCAATCCCCACAGTTCTCTAAGTAGCAGATATAGTTGCTGGCCAGTTATCTTAATTACATATAATCTCCCTCCATGGCTGTGCATGAAACGAAAGTTCATGGTGCTGACCTTATTGATTTCCGGTCCTAAACAACCCGAAAATGACATAGACGTTTACTTAGAGCCTTTGATTGATGATTTAAATTCCTTGTGGGATGGGATTAGAGGAGTGTACGATGCACATAATGGAGAATACTTTACACTCAGAGCTGCATTAATGTGGACAATTAATGATTTCCCCGCCTATGGAAACTTATATGGTTGTGTTGTTAAAGGATATAAAGCCTGTCCAATATGCGGCGATGATACACCTAGTCACAGGTTGAAAAATGGCCACAAAATTTGTTACATTGGGCATAGAAAATGGTTACCGATCAATCATCCATATAGGAGGCAACGTGCAGCTTTTAATGGGAAACCTGAATATGGCACGCCTCCTGAGCCATTAACCGGAGAAGAAGTGCTGCATATGGTTGAAGATGGTGACAGAGTTTGTTGGAAGAAGAAATCAATATTCTTTGATCTCGAGTATTGGAAATACCTTCCTGTGAGGCATGTCCTAGATGTTATGCACATTGAGAAGAATGTTTGCGATAGTATCATTGGTACATTGCTGGAGATCCCTGGAAAAAATAAAGATGGGATTGCTGCTCGATTAGATTTATTGAACATGGGGGTCAAAACTGATTTGCAACTCGAGTATGGAGAAAGACGTACTCGTTTACCTTCCGGGCTTTGGAATTTGTCAAGAGCAGAGAAGAGAGAGGTTATTCTTCAAATATAAAAAATCTTGTATCTTTATAAGATTCAACACTTGTTGGCCTTAAATGACATGATTGTCATACCTTAATGCAACAATTGCTCCTTATGGCAATTCGTTCTATTTTGGAGAAGCCTGCAAAGTATGCAATAACTCGTTTGTGCTTCTTCTTCAATGCTATATGTGCAAAGACTGTTGATGTTTCCAAGCTAGATAAGTTGGAAGAAGATGTAGTAGTTACTTTGTGTTTGCTTGAGAAGTACTTTCCCCCTTCATTCTTTGATATCATGGTTCATCTAGTAGTACATCTTGTCAGAGAAGTTCGTCTATGTGGGGCAGTATATTTTTTATGGATGTATCCGTTTGAAAGATATATGAAAGTGCTAAAGGGGTATGTTCAGAATCGTACTCGTCCTGAAGGTTGCATTGTTGAGCGGTATATAGCTGAAGAAGCTGTAGAGTTTTGTACCAAGCATTTATCTGATATTAGTACAGTTGGAGTGCCTTCAAGCCAAAAGATGGGAGTTTCAAAGCCAGTATCAGGTTGCACAGTGAGCGTAGTTGATCTGGACCTGTTGAACCAAGCACATCTATATGTCTTGGAGAATACGGAGGAAGTCCTACCTTATATCGAGTACGTATGAGTTTTATTCTTTAAGTTTCCATTTTAAATTATTTCTTATGTTTATCTTATATGTTTGGGACCGTAATGCTTGAATTTTTCGTGTTATGTAGGCAACATATGATCCACATCCAGACCGCTTATCCACAATTTAGAAAGAGAACAAAGCGGCTACAGGATAAACACAATAGCACTTTCATTCAATGGCTACGCTTCAAGGTATATGTTATTGAATAACATATTGGACTTTTAATTTTCTTCTTTCTATGTTAGATTGAATTAAGATATGATTAATTTGCAGGTTCAAAGTGAACTTAATGAGGAAGACAATCATGGCGTATCAGAAAATTTAAGGTGGCTAGCAGCTGGTCCAAACATGGCAGTGCCATCATATAGGAGCTATCTTATTAAAGGTATTAAATTTAACATCAAGGCACATGATGATGTGCAGACAAATCAAAATAGTGGAGTTTATTTACTTGCGCATACCATGCAAGTTGCTAGTGCCAAGGATAAAAACCCAATTCTCTCAAATATGGGTTTTTATGGTGT